GTCCTTCTGTCCTCCCAAGCAAGAACCCACCTCTCCCTGTATGAATAATAACAGAAAAAAAATCCAGATTTAGGATGTAGTACTGTGAGAGGGTGTGTGTGTGTGTGTGTGTGTTTGTGTGTGTGTGTGTGTGTGTGTGTGTTGGGAGAGGGAGCATTTGTTGGGGGATGGTGACGGTAGCCAGGGAGGCTATTTGGCCAGGGAAGGAGCATACTGCAATTTCAGAATGTGGTTCTCAGCATGTGCCTCCCAGAACCACGACATCAGCATCATTTGGCAACTTTGTTAGAAACACAAATTCTTGGGCACAACCCCAGTCCTTCTGGACCAGAAACACGGGTGGGCCCAGCAGGTTGTGTCTGATTAAACTCTTCAGGTGTTTTGGCACCACAGAGGTTCAAAACAACTGCCTTGGAGGACAGTGAAAGTGCTTGGGTGACTAGAGAAAAGGGCTAATCTTCAAATCATTCCAGCTAATGGCCACTTTAAACTTTTGTTTCTAAGATGTGATGATCCTTTAGGCACTATACTATGTGACTGAGGACTTGTAACTCTATTTCACCTGGTTATAACAATTTTTTATATCAAGGGTTGTTTGCCTTAATGGAATCCTGGGTATGAATTATTCAGTTTTGTTCTTTTCCCCATAAGAAATGAAAACATTTAGGTAGACTGCTGTCTCAGTTGGTTTTTCTTTTAAAATGTACTTTTTCTTTTTGAAAATGCTTTTCCATTTAACCATTTTTCCCCTCATTTTAATTTGATTTGCTAAATTTTGCTGAAGGACTTGAGCTCAGCTTTCCTACCTCAAAGTTTTGGCTAACTGTGGTGTGCCAAGGACTTTTAATTCTGGACATTATGTTTGGTAAAATCAACTACAGAATTTTGAAGATTTGCTGGGAAATTTGAAGTTTCAGTGAAATTCGAATATTGCATAATTCAACTTTATGCCCGGTCTTTTGATGCAATTTTGTCTATCAGAGGAAAACATTGCTATTGTACCATTTGATTTTTTAAAGTATGCCACCTTTTGAGATAATTTTTCATTTGCTTATTCATCATGTCTGAAAAACATACCCCCTCTCTATTTTTTTTCCCTTTTCCATTCTTTTACTTGTTTCCTCTTCTCTTTTCTATCTTCTTTTAATTTGTTCTTTATTTTTTATATACCAGAAAAAAACTTGATTTATTTAAAATAAACTTTTTTGGAAAAAAAGTCAAAAACTTGAAAAAAGAGTATAAAAAACAAAAAGGATCAAAGGTGAAGGAGGAGACGTTGTCAACTCACAAAGGAGAACATGAAGTAAGGTTTAGCTTTACTGGAAATGTGAACCAGTGGGTGGTTCAGTCACTGAATGTACCATTGGGAACTTTGAGTCTGAGATAGGGTTGTATAGTGTCCTGAGTTATGAACTGTATGCAGTAGCTATATTGTAAACAAGTAATTATTTCTGGGTCAGTCACTTGCTATTTCACCTTGTGGGCTACTTATGTCCCAGACTGCTGGGACTCATTTTTAATCCTGCAGATCAGATTTAAAATACTTATTTTTCAGTGTTATCACAGGACTAAGAGAAATCATGTATTTAAAGAAGGGACTAAGAGAAATCATATATTTTAAGTCTCAGCAATTAGAAACCTACAACTAATATGAGTTCATATTTTCAGTTGTAATTAATCTGTCTTCATAGTTGTATGGTTCTCCATTGTATTAAAATACCACAATTTACTTCTCTATTCATATGGGAAAGGATATTTTGGTTGATGCCAGTTTTCTGTTAATATCATGCAATAAACATTTATGTATATCTCTTTTAATGTACATATGCAAGGTTTTACTGGAGCAAAGAACTAAAATTACCATTGCTGCGTACTATTCTATAACCATCTTTTCTGGACAATGCCAGAGGGATTTCTTAGTGGTGGCACCTATTGGTACATTCATTAAGAGTGTATAGTATTTCCCTTTGTTTCACATCTTTGTCAACAATTGGTGTCACCAGGCTTTAAAATTTTACAAGTTCGGTGGGTGGTAATTGTCTTTCATGTGGTTTCATTTTAGACTTTTCTAATTTCCAATGAGAATAAGCAGATTCTAATATATTTAAGGATCATTTGTGTTTCTTTCTTTTTTGAGAAATGCTTGTTCAGATTTTTTTTCAACAATTTTTATAGTGTTATTTTGTTTATTGATTTGTGGTTAACCCTGATATATTTTGAAATCCAGCTACTTTTTCCTTTTTCACTTATATGCAATGAAAATTAGTTCTCCCAGTTTTTGCCATGTGTTTTTACTTTTTACAAATGATGTTCTTTGATATACAAAACTTCTAATTTTAATGTTTTTTTAATGGTTTGCATTGTGTGTGTGTGTGTGTGCCTTGCTTATGAAATTCTCCACTTTCTAGAAAGCATAGAGATAATGTCTCAGACTCTCTTTTCAAATTTTTAAGTTTTTCATGTCACTTTTAGGCCTTTAAATCTCTTGGAATTGATTTTTTTTGTGTTTGTGAAATTACAAAAAGGTGATGAGTGTAATTTTGTTCAGCAAGAACAGTTAATGGTACCATCACTGTTTAATGAAGAATCTGTCATTTCCACCCTGCTTTACCTGGCTCCTCTGTCACATGTCAAGTTTTCATATGAGGGTGGATCTGTTTCTGGGGTCTCTCTTCTCTGTCCTTTGTCTATTTCTGTTCCAATTCCACATTATCTTAGCACATATTCATAATTGTGCTGATATCTGGTAGGAAGTGCATGTTACTTCCGCTATGCACTTCTTCTGGACTACCTAGAATATAAGCCCTTTGCTTTTCTATATAAATATTAAAAAACATTATCTTAGCACATATTCATAATTGTGCTGATATCTGGTAGGAAGTGCATGTTACTTCCACTATGCACTTCTTCTGGACTACCTAGAATATAAACCCTTTGCTTTTCTATATAAATATTAAAAATTTTTAAGAAACTACAAACACAACTACACATTTCAGAACAAAATGCTTCACAACAACATGCTGCATATAATAAATATATACAATATTTGTCAGAAAAAATGAGATATAAATTATAAACACACATATATGTAAAATGTTGTGATTTATCTTGGAACTGCATTAAATGTATAGCAGGATTTAGGAGAGAATTTTCAGGTTTTGGATATTTAATCTTCCAATCACCAAATAGGGAATGTGAGGTTTCAACATACTCAAATTACTATTCTTTTTTCTTGTCCTTGGGATTTTTATTAATTACTTTTTTATGGGATTAGTAGTGCATTTCCAGGCTTATTTATTGGTGTTAATCCAAAATCTGAGCTTTTTTCAGTGGAGTAGTAGTACATATTTCAAGATATCTAGTCCAGCATTCCCTACCAGAAGTACAAGACCTATGTAGAGTGTTTGTACATTGCAGTTTTCTATATAAATATGTATGACCACTTTGAGTTTGTTTTCTCTGCCAATCTGTATGTGTAGGCTTATAAAAAAAATACATATCTATTTATTTTGTAGGTAGGAAAATGTTAATCAATGAGAGAGCCTATTTTTGGTCAGGAAGACTTGCACGAAGTAGGTCTGAAGGAAATTTGGTTGACATGGAAGCCAGAGAACTCTCAAATAATTGCAACATTACAGGTACAGAAATTTATAACTATTGTAATTTATCCGTGTAAGTTAATACAATTCATCACCTGTAAATATTGAAGGTCTACCTCTGAAAAGTGATATAGAAAATTAAAAGTTAATATTGAAATAGTTACATATTGTACACAACTATTGATAGTCAACTTTGTACCCTGTAAATACATATAATCAATTATGCTGCAATAAAAAATTGTGCAAAATAAAATAGCATAGCCAACATAGATTACAATAAGTACTATAAAAAGGCAAAAATTCATTAATAAATGAGCTGTATATGCATTAAATATAACATATTTTGGAGTAAAAAATGATATGTGAAGGTTGGATTGGCCTAAGTAAACTTCATGGAGCATAAAATAATTGAACTGATCCTCAGAGGAAAAGTAAGTTTTAAGAGAGTTAAGGATAACTGTATTGAAGAAAAGTATGAAAATAAGAAAAGTACCACTTTTATTTTTCAAACTGTATCTTCTAATTTTTAACATATAACACATATAACTCATTTCAGTCAAAATGATAGTTCTATGTGTATTACACAAAAAATCTGCCAGTTTACTGGAATTATGTTTTCTATAGAAATTCTGATAATTTGGATGGCCATTTGGCTATCATTTTCTCTAAAGGAGCATGAGCTTCACAAAATCCACAGTCATTATTAATATTTACTGAGAAATGACCAAGTATGAGTTGCTCTGAACAGAAAAAATGACTTCAATATTGTGAGATGAGATACATAGAGATTCTTAAGCTACAGATGTCAATATTTTAATGTGCAACTAATTCTTAAAACACTCACTTTCCAAAGTAATGTTTCCCTTTTTAGTGGTAAGACCACTCTTGCCACTGTGAGCTCGCAAAAACTCCATGAATTCCTTCAAGCAGTAAATTCAATGGTGGTCTATTTTTTCAGTGTTCTTTATCATGAAAAAAATTTCGATGTTATTATCAGTATAAAGTTATTAGAAAATAATCTAAGAAATTAAAGATGATTGTCTAATTTAGTATATTGTTTTTGAAAAACTATTTTAGCTGTTAACAGATGTATTTGATTTTTTCACATATTAAATATCTGGAAAAAAACACTTCAAATTAACATTCTCCATCTAATAAGATCAGCTTTTCAATGTTTAGAAAATCTGGATAATTGACTGAACTATTCTGTTTGTTCAGAGGTTTCCATTTGTGAAAATGAAACATAAAATAATAAAGCATAAGTACATCTAGTCTTGGTCATTTTCAAGGAAAATGTGTTAAATATATTTTTATCTAAAGTGTTAACATGTATCTGTTTAGTTTATAAATCATAATTTCTTAAGATAAAATAATATAACCTATGGTCAAAATAACCTGGAAGAAAATTTTTCTTTTCTTCATTACATTCAAATTTAACATTAAGTTTGTAGTAGCTTTCAGATTGGAGATCAAAAAGCAAAACAAAAAGTAAGCCCTGATTTTGTAAGCTATGGGAAAAATTAATCTTGGTTCTATATCAGAATGCCTTCTCATCTTTGTTTTGCTTTGTTTTTATTTAAATCACAAGAATGCCAAGACCCAGATTCGCTTCGCAGTTGTCTGGATGCTTTCACTCTTGGTGGTAATAATGTTTCTAAAGCTACAAATCCATTCTGGAATGAACTGTCTGCTTCTAACCCATTTCTGGATGACATAACTCAGCTAAGAAATAACCGAAAGAGAGAGAATATTTCCATCTTGAAGGAAGATCCTTTTCTTCTTTTTAGAGAAATAGAAACTGAAAATTCTTTTGATTCCTCTGGTGATGAACTTGATGTGCATAGGTTGCTCAGGAAGTCTTCCTCAAGGAAGTGTGGAAGATCTAAAAGTGTTTCAGAACTTTTGGACATTTTAGATGACACAGCACATGCTCATCAGAGTATACATAACTCTGACCAGATCCTAGTACAAGACTTGGAATGGCTTCAAAATGATCGAGAGGCTTATAAAATGGCTTGGTTAAGTCAACGGCAACTGGCCCGTTCCTGCCTGCATTTGAATACAATTAAACAGAGCCCTGGCTGGGCCCAAACACAAGTTGCAGAGATTATTGTAGTTTGTAAAGTAAGCCACCAAGGAGGGTCGGTACAGTTACCTGATTCAGATATCACTGTTCATGTGCCCCAAGGTCACGTAGCTGTGGGAGAATTCCAAGAGGTTTCTCTAAGGGCTTTTCTTGATCCTCCACGTTTACTTAACCATGATCTTTCATGCACTGTAAGCCCGCTCTTGGAAATCAAGTTAGGTAACCTTAATACAATGGAAGCTATTTTGCTGGAAATAAAAATTGGGGCTGAAGTGAGAAAGGATCCTTTCAGCCAAGTCATGACAGAAATGGTGTGTTTACACAGCCTGGATAAAGAAGGCCCTTTCAAACTGTTAAACAATTGCTACGTTTATAAAGACACCATCCAGGTCAAGCTAATTGACTTGAGTCAGGTGATGTATTTAGTGGTTGCTGCACAAGCTAAAGCTATCCAGTCACCAGCTGCCACAATTTGGGATTATATTCACAAAACCACATCAGTTGGAATTTACGGACCCAAATATATCCATCCCAGCTTCACTGTTATTTTTATAGTTTGTGGACACAGTTATATGCCAGGAAAGCTTACAATCTCTGATATTAAGAAGGGTGGGAAAAACACATCTCCAGTCGTATTTCAGCTGTGGGGGAAGCATTCATTTTTACTTGACAAGCCACAAAATTTAAGTATTTCTGTTTTTTCATGTGACCCAGATTTTGAAGTAAAGGCAGAAGGAGAAAGAAAAAGAATCAAACAAAAGCAATTGAAATCAGGTGAAGTAGTTCATCAACAATTTTTATTTTCTGTAGTTGACCACAGAGAGATGCACTTGTTTGTTTTCTGTGTTCAGGTAGAGCCTCCCAATGGTAAACCAGTTGCACAGTTCTTTATCACTACACCTGATCCAGCCCCAAACCTAAAAAGACTTTCGCATCTGCCAGGTTATTTGCAGAAGGAGAAGGAAATGAAGTCTGATCCTTTATTACCAGCAGTGCTTGTTAAATATCCAACATTTCAAGATAAAAAATTGAACTTTACCAACTATGGGGTTACCTTGAAGACAGTGCTAAGACAAATCAAGATTGACTACTTGCTTGAATATTTCAAAGGGGACACAATAGGTCTTCTTGGAGAAGGTAAGGTCAAAGCCATTGGGCAGTCCAAAGTGAAGGAATGGTATGTGGGAGTCCTCAGAGGTAAGATTGGACTTGTGCATTGCAAAAATGTCAAGATGATTTCAAAGGAACAAGTAATGTCTATGTCAGATAGTGTCTTTACAACCAGAAATCTACTTGAACAAATTGCCCTGCCCTTTAAAAAACTGACTTATATCTACTCAGCTGTATTGACCTTGGTGTCAGAAAATGTTTATGACTGGAAAGTTTTAGCTAATGTCCTAGGTTACTCTCCTCTGGCACTGGAAGACTTTGATAAAACACAAGCAGACAAAGAATCAGAAAAAGTTTCTTACATTGTAAAGAAGTTAAAGGAAGATTGCCACACAGATAGGAATACAAGGAAGTTTCTTTATGAACTTATTGTGGTAAGTATTACTTGTTCGTAGCAATTTATTTACCCTAGAAAATTTATTACCTTGACAATATTTATAACCAAATATACAGGAGGAGAAATTTTTAAAAAATTAGCAGTCTCAAATAAATTGAAGGCATTTCATTGCAAATATAGAGCTTTTCCTGCAAGATCATATAATTGGTTTCTTAAGTTCAAGATTCAATTGTGATTTTCCCAGAAAATAACCCCCTCAATCATCTTTTAAAGGAAGGTCGAAGGTTCCCTTTGTGCTGGCCCAAACAGTTGAGTTGTCTTCTCTTCCTCTCTCAGATGTAAGACAGATCTTAAAATATCAGAGAAGTTCCATATCCATAACATGAAAGTAAATATGAGAAAACTGAAACAGAACTAACTTGACCATTGCTAGAAGTCCACTTTTCAGTGTTTTTTGTTTGTTTGTTTTATCAAATCATCAATATCCATTACTTTAGCAATTCAGTATTCTTCTGTATGCAGTGCATCACAACCTAAACAATGATTGGCAATTCTCTTGTAATCCTTATGTTTTAATGTTGTAATAGGACTCTTAGGGTCAACTTTTTTCAGCATAGTATTCAATCATCAATATCCATTACTTTAGCAATTCAGTATTCTTCTGTATGCAGTGCATCACAACCTATACAATGATTGGCAATTCTCTTGTAATCCTTATGTTTTAATGTTGTAATAGGACTCTTAGGGTCAACTTTTTTCAGCATAGTATTCACCCCATAGAAGGCTCAGTAGAGAGTTATAAAGAATTATTTTGCCTTTATTTTTATTTTTTAAATTTTATTTTATTTTGTCAATATACAATGTGGTTGATTATTGTGGCTCATTACCAAAACCTCCCTTCCTCCTCCCTCTCCCACAAACAAAAAATCAAGAGGATATTTCTAAAACTGGCTAAAATGTGGATTTACACATAATAACAGTGATAGCTAATACTTCTCTATTGCTTCCTATGTATTCGGCCCTGTGCTTAACATTCTATAAACTTTATCTCATTTACCCATTATAACAACTCTATGGGGTAAGTGTAGCTAGTATCACCATCTTACAAATGGAAGAAACTGAGTTTCAGGAGGTTAGGCAGTTTGCCCAAAGCCCCATAGTTGGTTATTATCAGAGATGGGATTTGAAATATTTTTGGTTCCAAAATCATGCTTAAAACCATTATTCCCTCCTGAAACAAAGTTTTATGGGTGTTTGTGAGTGTAAAAATGTTTGTGTAAGTGTGTGTTGGTATATGCATTAAATGGCATTATGACTGGGAAAGACTGGTGCCCTATAGCAGATGAGTAAGATTATGCAGACAGGTTCACACACACAGGTGCAAAGATTTAGTCGAGGTACAAAAGGAGAGGAAGAAATTTGGAGGAGGAGTTTAATCTGTGACATTAATAATTATATAATAAGAAAGAAATATGTATAAAACATTTCTTCTTCAATTTGTCTGATGATTCTGCAAAAATACTGAGAGGAATTAAAAGTTTCAACTTCCAGTTGTTAAGTGTATTACGGTGTGCTGCATTCTCACGTCATCTGGGCCATTCAGAGTCAATGGAGACTGAATGTTAGAAGCTGCTCCACCTAGTTTTACAATAGCTCATTACCTCTCATAGCTCATGTTTGCCTGCACTTGCATAGGTTTAAATTAAAATTGCTTTCTTGTGTTCTCTTAGTGGCTTAAAGAGAGGAATTAAAAGTTTCAACTTCCAGTTGTTAAGTGTATTACGGTGTGCTGCATTCTCACTTCATCTGGGCCATTCAGAGTCAATGGAGACTGAATGTTAGAAGCTGCTCCACCTAGTTTTACAATAGCTCATTACCTCTTATAGCTCATGTTTGCCTGCACTTGCATAGGTTTAAATTAAAATTGCTTTCTTGTGTTCTCTTAGTGGCTTAATAAAAAAGGTTATATTGGCCAAATGGTCTGAAAATTTAAGCCTGATGATTCCCACACTCTTGGCAAGTATGATTATTAATAGAATGCCTTGAATGGCTAATGAGACAGTGATGGTAGAGAGCCCATTCAAGGGAGTAGTTACCCGGGGGCCCAAAACCTCGTACTGTGCCTTGGTGGAGGAGCCAGGATTTCTGTTTGAAAGGGACTTAGGCCTACCTGTCTAATGGAGTGTAGGGTGTAGAGTTGTTTCTTGAAACTTTATTTGCTCTAATAAGTATATATTTTTCTTGGATTGTGTATTAATTTGGGGTGGCTGGAAGGGAGGTTATCAAGCTAAAAAAAAAAGATTGGTCTAAACCCTTTAGTCTTTTCTAGACATTGAGATTGGCTGTCCTTATTACTGGACACTTGATATTCTCTAAGCACTTCAGCATCTGATTCCATTTTCATGATTATGGAGAATTAGACAGGTGGTATTACCAATATATCCATTTTAGAAATCATTAAATAGAGATATTGTGTGATGCATCTAAAGTCCTTTATTTTGCAGAGCCAGATTTTAAACTCAAGTTTTATGACTCCAAGTGCAGATTTCTTTTCCCTAAACCAAGAAACTAGAATACACAGTGGAAAACTCACTCCACAGGTTACTAAAAGCACCTTCAAGGCCTGCCGACTCATTCAGTATCTCTTCTCACTGAGGCCATAACTCCTCAGTATAAATGTGTGGATCAGTATAGTCTATGTATTAGAACCATGGGTAGTTCTAATTGTATCCTTCCATGGAAATTAACACTCTACGGACTTTAATAGTTCCCTTACTTGGTCATTCATTTTTATTTATTTTTTCATATTGGTAGATAAAGCTTCTAAGTGCCATTAAATGAGGGGCTACCAAACATGTTTATTTGCTTATTTGAACAGAGAATAGATAGAGTCAGATATAATTCCATATTTTTAAAATGTACTGAAGGCAAAACAGAATATTCTAGATTTGTTTGAAATAAGCATGGTGAGTGACAGAGCTCAGAAGCCTAATAAAGGAAGAAAAAATGAGTCTGAAGCATTTTCATTTTGCCTTCATGAAGACTAAGTGTTTTATCTTTAATACCTTGTGGTTTATATTTAACAAAATTTTAATGGTAGTGAGGGAGATGGTTAATTTTTTAAATTTATAAACTTCAATAGCTTTGTTCAAAGTTGAAGGAATGTCTCATTTTTATGCAATAGGCATGATTCTGGGAAGTTTTAAATCACATTTAGGTAAAAGGGAGAATAATGTTTACCATCATTAGTGTACTCAGTCTTTGGAGAAATCCTGTAGTCAGTCTTCTGGTAAGGCAAGGAATTATTTTTTGTGAGTGAATAATCAATCCTGGGTTGATAAATTATAGACTATTGGGTCCTGAGAGTACCTTTGCAAATATCTAGTACAACTTCCTTCCTTTACAATTAAGGATATTTAAACACATTTTAGTTAAATGGTTTACTCAAGGTCCTATAATTAGTCACTGAGTTAGTTCTACATCTTCCTTAATTGTGGGTTAGTTATGTCCACTATAGTTTGCTTTTTGAATTTGCTTAAAACTGAATCAACATTTTGAGTTTTAGAAAACTTAATTATATGTACAGTGAAAAAAAGAACTTCAATTTCTAGACTATGTAATAAAAATTTTAATTTATGGGAAAAAGCCCAAATTAGTTGCTTATAATTATGACCTGCAATTGTTGCTGCAGGCTCTGCTGAAGATGGATTGTCAAGGGTTAGTAGCTCATCTCATCCAAGAGGCTGTTATTCTGACTTCAGCTGTCAAGCTTGGAAAAGGCTGGAGGGAACTAGCTGAAAAGGTAGCACGACTCACAAAGCAACAAATGGAGGCGTATGAGATTCCTCATCAGGAAAAAGCTGGAGGTGTTGCTGTTGAGGTAAGATTTTCATTTGTTTAACTCAATAGTGAAAAGTTGCAGACCAAGTAAAACAAATGTAATCAAGCCGGTACCTCATTTACAGATGAATTGGGAGAGTATCCAAGAAGATCCACTAAGTAAAGTCACTGTCCCTGTAACCCATCAACTGTTAAAATCTATTGAGAGCCTTTAAAATATATTGATGTTTCTCCTAATGGATTTCGTATTAACATGGCTTTTGATCAAATGAATGGATCAATTGGGTTGGTAAGTAGGCAGGGCTGTAAGAACTTGAGGCATAGAACAGGTAAAGTTTGAAGGGAGGAGATAGGACCAAGTCAGGACAAGGCAGGCATGGACTTGGTCATTTGTGATAAATGCTCTGTGACAAGAAACATTAAGAGGGCGGCTGGTTTGGGGCCACTGATAATGAGAGATAGAGATACCTAAGAGCTTCATTATCTCCTTCACACCTTTGCATACGAGATCTATAGACATCAAATACAAAATGAGAACACTTAGTACAAAGTAAATATTTACCATGCAAATATAGTTTTTTTCTTTTTCTTTTTTGCCTGTGTTATTGGTAATAGATAACCTAATACATTTGTGTGATATAAAAGTAGTGTATAATGTTCTACCACTTGACGTTATCTCTTCCCTTTTCTGCAAAGGAAGAAAAACATTTTGTTTAGCTTTCTATGACAGTAGTCTTTACCTATAGAGTTTGTCTATAAAAACTGGTTTTATTATCACGAATGGAAAAAGGGCAGGTTGAATCAAGGTGACTGAATCTTGAATTGAGCACGCCTGTCTGCTGTGGCTATTCCTTCAACTGAGTGCTGCACATCATGGGCTCTGTCTGTGAGAGAAAAATCCCGGTGCTTGGTGTCCTTGCATGACATGGTGTTTTGCATGTAGATAGATTTAAAATGTACCTCTGGTTTACAATAATTTGCATAATTTTGAAGATAATGCTGCCAGACTTTGGAAATGTTAATGTTCAAATATTGTTTTTAGGCACAAGTTAGATAAATATTTTCTCCAGATTTTCATAAAGAAATGTGAGTCAAATTTTACTGAATTAAACAAAAATATTTCAGTGGTAAGCACATATTAAGATGTTCTATATCTTTCTCTCACATGAGTATAAGCATTTTGAAGATATTTGACTTTAGGGAAAAATTCTCTCTTTCGTTGGATGATGGCTTGGTAGGAAGAGAAGCTGCATTCTCTACTTCTTCTTTGGACATAGAGCTGGGTATTAATTTTTGAGAATTTTTTTTTTTTTATTTGAAGCAACTATTCCAGCTGGGTGAACAGGACAAAGCCACCTTTCCATGAAGTGTAGAGTCCAATCAAGTCCAAATTGAGCTCTTTTGCTAACTTTCTGTCCTTTTCAACTTCTCTCTTTTCCCTTTGTTCTATTTTTATTGTATGTAACAGACAGTTATCTAGAACTTACTTAGTGCCAGGCACTGTTCTGAGAATATGACAAAAATTAACTTATTTAGTACTTTCAATAAAGACTTGTGGGGCAGACACTAATATTATCTAACATATACAGAGGATAAGTAACTTGCTTAAACATATAAAGCTAGAAAGTCATGAAACCAAGTTTACAGAACAGACCTCTAACTTGAGGGTCCAGGTACTCTAACATTACACCACTCCAAATCCAATATGGTGACCAAGCCATGAGTCAGGAGGTATGGTCAGGGCTTGGGGTGTAAGCAACTCACCTCTTTTTAAGCCATGGTATGATACTACCAAAATTTGCTTCAACATCTTTGTCAAGCCTGAAGCCAATTGAAGAGTAAAGAATATTAATAGTATGTCTGTCAGATTTTTCCTGAATACTTTTAGCCATTTCTTATTCTTTCCCAAGGAGAAAAAAAAAAAAAAAAAGCCCCTTTGGAGACTTTTGAGAGTGCCATTTTTTAAATTAGTCATTTCCTCAAGTTAAATTTTAAGAAATGTTACTCAGTTTTTCTAATGACATTGTAATTCCTGCATAAAAACAAAACTACAAAGCTTGGAATCTGATCATGAGCAAAATATGTTTTTCAGAGTATTTCTTTTGGAAAAAAAAACTTAGGCTATACAAAGATGCAACTGTTGCTGAGGTTTTTCTGTGTCAGTTATTGAAAATTCATTAAAGTTTTTCTGAAAATATTTAGAGCTTTAATTACAAAAAAAAAAAAAAAGAAAGAAAAATCAATGGAGTATTCAAAAAGGAGCCTATTTAGAAAAAGTTGGATTTTACAAGGGGAATTGCTGGGGATTTCAGGGTTAAGATATTCACAGGCTTAAAATGGCTGCTCTTTACTTAGCCTTCTGGAAATTATTACCATATATGACAATAATTTCCCTACAGTGCTCTCCTATTTGCTCCATGCCTAACAATAAAGATTATGCACTTCCATTGTATTCATTAAGAATCCTCATTCACCAAGGACAGTAAAGGTTCACTTTCCTTTTTAAATTACCTTTGTCCACTGACCTCCACTTCAACTACTGAGGATGGTTTTATCTGCCCTTCCCTGTGGTAGTCCAGTGAAGTCAATATTCCTAATTGCAATATTTTTCCATCTCAGAATTCACCCACCTGTACAGAGTTATGAGTATAACTGGCAAGGTGTATTTTAAGTCTTTTAAAAGTTACCGTGTAATCAATGCAGATCTACCCACTGTTGTATATTGAAGTCACAATCTTTGTTCCTTCTCATTTTCTGACTGACAGCTTGAGTGTTCAGAGCATTTTATTCTGCCTAGATTACAAATGGGAAAGCAGGTGATCCTCAAACAGCTCTTTTTTTTATAAGTGAATAAAATATTCTACATGGAATTCTTCCCACATAGTTAGTGTCTTTCCTTTGTATCCTTGTCTTCAGTATTTAATTCATCCACCCACTTTAACACATTTTCTGGGTCTATCAGTTCTCACCACTGGTTTAAGAGCACAAATAAACCATAAACAGAATGAAAAAATATAATTTTCTTTCTCTTTAAAGGCAAGTTTTATTGTGGCCCAGGAATTGGGATAAACTTTTAATATTTGAATTGTTATAATATTTTAAAGAAGTATATGATCGGATGAGAAAAGTAGTTGTAACTTATTGTTTACTGAGTATCAGCTAATTATGATGAGCATTTTCTTTACAATAGCTCATTTATTTCAATAAACTTTGTAAGGAAGACATTATAACCATCCGCTTTTTAAATATATGCAAACTGAGGATGGATGCATTTGTGTAATTTATCAAGAGTTACATGGTTATTAAGCGACAGAACTACATTTGAATCCAGTTTGTCTTACTCAGAGTCCTAATCACTGTGTTATACTGCTGGTAAGCCCTGTCAGAATTAACTAATTTAAAAAAGATCAAAGTGGAGAAGCAATTAGGAGACACATCCTAGTCCTGAAGGATACGTAGCATTTGAATGATTGGAGAAGACTGGAAGTGGATTTCAGTGCTTCTGGATGTAAATTCTAAAGATGCTGAGGAGACATGGGATGGAGAGAAGAGTTGATCTTAATAATTATTGGGAGATGTGGTCAGATCAAATGGCGGGATCAATGGAGGAGAGTCTTGAATGACTGCCAGAACAGAGAGGTTAAAATTCCTAGTCTGGATTCCTGTTCCAGCTCTACCACCTATTAGCCCTAAGACCTTGAACAAGTTGCTTGACTTTTCTAAAAATCCTCTGAGATGTGGTCAGATCAAATGGCGGGATCAATGGAGGAGAGTCTTGAATGACTGCCAGAACACAGAGGTTAAAATTCCTAGTCTGGATTCCTGTTCCAGCTCTACCACCTATTAGCCCTAAGACCTTGAACAAGTTGCTTGACTTTTCTAAAACTCCTCTTTTTTTTTTTCTGTAAAATGAGAAAAATAATACTATCTTACTCATCAGATGTTTGGAGGATCAAATGAGATAATGTATAAAATATCTGGAAGTATGCTTTGCATTTTATAATTACTAATACATTTTATCTATTATTATGATGAAGAAGAGATGAATTCACCAACTACAAGACATTGAATGATTTTGGGAAAAGAAATAAAATATAGTAATTTTCTAGTAATATGGCTGAGAGTAACTATAGAAAGAATGTAGGTAAGGAAAAAGTCAGCAATGATTTCAAGGCTTCTCTCTTGAGAAACTGGTAGGATAGCAACGCCTGGAAAGAAATGAGAAAATCTTGACTGATCAGCTTTTTCTTATGGGCTCAGCACAATTTAATTTTCCTTGGGAAATAGCTCTTGCAAAAGGTAAAAGGAATGTCCTTGGACTATTATGGTTTTCTGGTTTGTGTGGCAACTGCAGTTCTGTATCTGGGCCTTGTTCAGTTCTAGCCTTAGGACTTAAATTTTTTGTTGCTGTTCTTTTAAAGTGAGAAATATACTTACAATTTCTAAAAGAAGGGAAAAGTGTTAGATGGAGTTTCATCTAAGAGTAGTAAAGTGTATAGAATAGTTTCTCAAACCTTTTTGTTTGAACTAGAGATTTGGCACAGTGACATTAGTTAGATCACCATAGTATACTTTGCATAACTTTACTCCTGTTGCTGAAATCTTTAATTTCAAAAAGATATTCCATTTTTTGAAATTGTGGAAGAAACAAAGACATCAGTCAAATTTCTGGGGTAACACATTGTATTCCTATGATCTTTGATTTGGTTCTATATTATATGTCTCATTATCACACTGAAAATCAAATAGAAGTAATAAACATATTATGTTAAATATTATAAAGATATTTTAAAATGCATTTATAGGTGATTCTACTTGATTTTCTTTTTAAGTTTTCTTTACCAAGGTTTATTATTAGGGAACATAAACAATAGGGAATTTCAGAAAACCAAAGTCCAGCTAAGTATGAGACCTAAATCGGCATTTATTAAAGCTGCTTAACTATGAAATAAATTTGTGACAATATTTTAGTGAAATGGCTCTGTATTTTTAGCTACATGACCTGGATTCTTTTCCTGGATATTTGACCTGGTTTTGTCT